GGCACACCCCTCACACGTTTCGTGGCCCCATAGGGAGCTCCACCGAAGGCCCCAGTGGCTGCGCCCGCATGCGGTTCCACCCCCCATTTTGGCACACCCCTCACACGTTTCGTGGCCCCATAGGGAGCTCCACCGAAGGCCCCAGTGGCTGCGCCCGCATGAGGTTCCACCCCCCATTCTGGCACACCCCTCACACGTTTCGTGGCCCCATAGGGAGCTCCACCGAAGGCCCCAGTGGCTGCGCCCGCATGCGGTTACACCCCCCATTCTGGCACACCCCTCACACGCTTCGTGGCCCCATAGGGAGCTCCACCGAAGGCCCCAGTGGCTGCGCCCGCATGCGGTTCCACCCCCCATTCACGCACACCCCTCACACGTTTCGTGGCCCCATAGGGAGCTCCACCGAAGGCCCCAGTGGCTGCGCCCGCATGCGGTTCCCCCCCCCATTCTGGCAAACCCCTCACACGTTTCGTGGCCCCATAGGGAGCTCCACCGAAGGCACCAGTGGCTGCGCCCGCATGCGGTTCCACCCCCCATTCTGGCACACCCCTCACACGTTTCGTGGCCCCATAGGGAGCTCCACCGAAGGCCCCAGTGGCTGCGCCCGCATGCGGTTCCACCCCCCATTCTGGCATACCCCTCACACGTTTCGTGGCCCCATGGGGAGCTCCACCGAAGGCCCCAGTGGCTGCGCCCGCATGCGGTTCCACCCTCCATTCTGGCACACCCCTCACACGTTTCGTGGCCCCATAGGGAGCTCCACCGAAGGCCCCAGTGGCTGCGCCCGCATGCGGTTCCACCCCCCATTCTGGCACACCCCTCACACGTTTCGTGGCCCCATAGGGAGCTCCACCGAAGGCCCCAGTGGCTGCGCCCGCATGCGGTTCCACCCCCATTCTGGCACACCCCTCACAAGTTTCGTGGCCCCATAGGGAGCTCCACCGAAGGCCCCAGTGGCTGCGCCCGCATGCGGTTCCACCCCCCATTCTGGCACACCCCTCACACGTTTCGTGGCCCCATAGGGAGCTCCACCGAAGGCCCCAGTGGCTGCGCCCGCATGCGGTTCCACCCCCCATTCTGGCACACCCCTCACACGTTTCGTGGCCCCATAGGGAGCTCCACCGAAGGCCCCAGTGGCTGCGCCCGCATGCGGTTCCACCCCCATTCTGGCACACCCCTCACACGTTTCGTGGCTCCATAGGGAGCTCCACCGAGCGCCCCAGTGGCTGCGCTCGCATGCGGTTCCACCCCCCATTTCGGCACACCCCTCACACGTTTCGTGGCCCCATGGGAGCTCCACCGAAGGCCCCAGTGGCTGCGCTCGCATGCGGTTCCACCCCCTCATTTCGGCACACCCCTCACTCGTTTCGTGGCCCGGGGGCGCCACCGAGGAATATATCCACAATTGCGGTATTCACAACTACGTATGGTTGGGTCTTTCGTCAGGCTAATTTTTTTGGGGGTCTTCCCAGAGAGGCTAAGAATCGCCACGGCTGGGCCCGCGCCGAGAAAGGGACCAGGATGGGCCCGGGAGGGGTTCATAGGGTTCATGCGGGCATGACCTTCTGCAGGGGGAGCATTTGGAAATAGAATAAAAATATCGGGGGACGATTGTTCGATTAGTTTGAACTATGTTGGAATATGTTTGATTATTTCATGTTTTCTCTAAAATCCGCCAGGTAGCAGGACATGCCCGACCTAAACCTAGGGACCGATGTTCAGCAGAAGTTGGCTGGGTGGGAGAGCTCTTGTTTCACAGTGTTTGTACACTGTTGAACGTCGAGGCATACAATGCAATGCAGTCGAAAGCGGGAGCCCCGTTTTGAGAAGGATCCGCTTTTCATCCGCAGTGGGGCTGTCTGGGACTCGTCCCTGACGCAGCTCGTCTGTAAGGTTCTCACGTGTGTGTTCGAAGGCCCGGGGGGTGCTCTACAACCCATGGTCGCAGAGCATCGCCAGGCCTCAGAATAGATATGTGGAGCGATCCAAATAGGGCCTCGCCTTCGAGGATAGAAGGAAGGAGTTGTCACCTCTGCCTCGGCGGGAGACGGCGGAAGGGCCGCGGAAGGTCAGCGGAAGCAAAACGAGGCCACCTCCGCCGTCGGAAGGCGGCGGAAGGCTGGCGGAAGGGCGGCGGAAGGCGGCGGAAGTAAAAGATGCGCCCCCGAGAGATGAACGAGTTTTGGGGCTCAGGGTATTCCGAATCGCCCAGATAATTACGTGAGAGCCTGACAGGTCGGTCGTGGCCCGTGGTCCCGTGGGCTCTTGGGCTCTTGGGCTCTGGTCGTGCCTCGGGGTCTCTTGGTCGTGGCTCGTGATCTCTGGTTTCCTGCACAGTCTCCCGTACAGTGGTCTGGCCTACCATACTGTATCCCGAATAAGAAAGAGTCTGCATAAGCATAAATCGTTGGCGATTCGCGCGGTGCGCCAAAAGTTTTCACTTATGCCGTTTTTGATTTCTCTGGCATAGTGCGAAAATAGCACCGTCCACTGCAATGGCGAAACTTGATGATGCCCGCCCGCCCAATCCAATCATAATTCTTTTTCCTTCCAATACAATCGCTCCCAAACAGTCCCGCCTTGCATACAAAACCCTAACATGCACCCCTTGTCTGGCTGTTGCGGATCTCATCGCCGTGTGCGCCAAATTCCTTCAGAAGGCCACGCAGGTTGATGAATGCATGCCCGCATCCTGATAAGCATTGGGGAGCGCGCAGAAAGTCTGACAGACGCGCATGACTTTCATTGGAAAGCCAGCGTCACATTCAACAGCTCAATGACGAACCGATGCGCCAAGTATGTTCAAACGATCTTGTATCGCGCGCGCTAGCGCCTTCTATGGAGCTATTCATGCGGGGTGAGATGTAAGGACATGGACATGCGAACGGCAGGGGGAGGGATGGGAGGGGATTGCGGAGGAGGAGGAGCGAGGCGGAAGAGTAGGAGGCGGAGGAGGGGGAGGCGGGATGGTAGGACGCGCGGCGCTGCGGATTCAAAGCGGAGACCTAACACCGCGGGATGCGTGGGGGAAGACGTAACCCTGAGTGCCGATGGTCCCCCACGCCTGGGCCAAGCACGGAAAGGCTCAACAGAGGCAAGGTCCTGCGCCTTGCTTGTCAAAAAGCCCAGGCTGGGCTGGGCAAGCTCACGGCAGCAGCTGCCCCCTTGCAGCGTTGTGCATTTCGTCATTGTATTTTTTGTTTTTTGTTTTCTCTCTCTCTCTCTCTCTCTCTCTCTCCCTCCCTCCCTCCCTCCCTCCCTCCCTCCCTCCCTCCCTCCTCCTCCTTCTCCTCCTCCCTCCTCCTCCTCCCTGATCCCTGCTCCCTCCTCTTCCCTTATCCTTGGCAGCTCATTCCCCATTCCATGCAATCAGATGCGATCAGGCTAGACGAGTCACAAGGTTTGCCCCGACGACCCCTGGACACCGCCAGGCCCTCCACGTACAACGTTCGCTAGAGATGCTCGCGTCCTGTCAGGGACCCCAGATCATTTGGAACTCATGATTCTGAGCCTGGTTCTTGGATCCCGCTGGGTCATGTGCGCGTCAGTCAGTCAGTCAGTCAGTCGTCATGAACGCCGTCATCGTCCCTGCTTTGGCTTACCAGCGCCTCCTGTCCTGGACACCGCTGGTCGCCTCTACGTGTAGCCACCGGGGCATCGCTCGCCTCCCAGCACCGTCTAGAGCGACCGCCATCATCAGAGGCGCACGCGAAGAAGTTTGAGCACAGCCGTTCTGGCGCAAAGGTATCCACTGGGTCCAGCACCCTCATTCGATGTTCGTTTTGCGGACGATCCTGGAGCCCGCACAGCGGATCTGTTCAAATTTAGTTCGACTCGAGTTCGACTGAAGCTCGACTCGAATTCGACTCGAGTGGCGGCGGACGTTCGGCGCAGCATCGACGCATGAGTGGAGCGAGTGGCTACAGGAAGGTCCCCAGAACGAGCGTCTGACCCTCAAAGAAACACCGGCCCCCGCGTCGGTGGCCTCTTCTCGGTGGCCCCCGAACGGTGTGGTGACCACACCGCGTGGTGAGTCAGTGGGGATTCGGGGACGACGACGACGACGACGACGACGACGACGACGACGACGACGACGACGACGACCGGTCAACCAGAGGCCTCCTGGGCCTCTGGAGGTCCCCAGGCGTGTTAGAAGCTTCTGTCTGCAACCACGACCGAACCCTACCCCTGCGGGTCCAATCGACGCTTGGGTATCGGACACCCCCGCTGGGGCCCACTTGGCTGCAGACGCCCTTCTAATGCTGAAGCCCGGCAGGCGTTCCAGAAATCTGACCTGCAGGGGTACGGTACCACACCGCGGAGTCCGTGGAGATTCGGGGTCGCCGCACGGTGTTGGGACTCGGGTCCAATTCCGAGGACGTCTCGGGCAACCGGGGCCTCCGAGGTCCCAAGACCGTGCGGTGACGGACCGCGCTGTGTGGTCTCTTGGGATCTCGAGGTCACCACGCGGCGTGTGTTAAGTCGGGCGTGTCCCTCTACAGGATGAAGATTCAAATGAAGAAATAATACGGGGACGAATGTTTGACTATTTGGGATTATTTTTCCGTACTCTTGATTTTTCGTCCAAAATCCCTTTGTAAGGGGGACATGCCCGACATCCTCCGAGTTCTTATGTTTATGTAATTTTTCGTTCCCCTGTGGGACTTCTAGGTCACCATACGGCCCCCGTCTTCACCACACACCGCTCTGGAGCCCCCGTCTTCACGACAGCGCATGGCGCGGGCGCCCCCGCCCGGCACGCTGCCGCTGCTGCTCGTGCTGGCGCACCTGTGCCGGCTCGGCTCCGCGGCGATCTGGTCGCCGAGCGGCGGCGACTCCGTGGAGGTCCGGAGCAGCGGCCGGCTCATCCGGCCCTCGGGAGGGGGAACAGTCGGGGGCGGCCAAGAGTCAGCGAGCGAAGAACGGTATAACATAAACTTTTTCGCTGTCGGGGGCGCCTGTCCCTGGGGCGGCTTGAAAGTTTGTACCCCTACGGTGTCACCGTCAGGGTATAAACTTTCCAGCCGCCCTGGGACAGGCGCCCCCGACAGCGAAAAAAATATGTTATACCGTTCTTCGCCCGTTTAAAGAGGGGTTGATGACTGGGGGGAGGATATCATGGCGTGGGCCATGATACCTCCCCAGATTTCATGGCGCCTCTGCTTAGTTCGTTTACGTCCCTGCCCCCCCACCCCCTTGGCCGCGCACATGCCGCCGGCCATGAGTTGCAAACACCCCTCTTACACACACCCCTCTTGGCCGCCCCCGAAACAGCATCAACAGGAGAACAAGAAACGCCATAAACATAAAAACTTGTGGCGCTCCGCGCGGATTTCTTGGATCCGCGCCGGACCCCCCTCCCTGGCGCGCGGAGCGCGCCAGGGGCGGCGCCGCGGATCCAAGGAGTCCGCGAGGAGTGCCAAAAGTTGTTGTGCTCATGGCGTGTTCTTTGCTTCTTCCGATCCATCGCACGCCGCCGTCGGGAGCCCGTCAGCGTGTGTGATTCCCCTTCGCTGGTCGGAGGGTCCTCCGTCCGTCCTGCGGCCTCCCTCCTCCTCGCCCCTCGCCCGCCTGCGCCTCCGCGCCTCGGTGCGCAGCGGGGGCGCCCCACCGCCTGCTGCACCGCGCGCTGGACCACACTCGCCGCAGGCCGAGCGGAGCTGCCCCTTCGACTGTCGCACGCCGATGGGCTCCCCCGGGCGGCGTGCCACGGGCACGGGGGCCTTGCCCCCCCCCAGGTCCCACGACCCTCCGCCCGGCAAGGCGCTGGGGCGATCGCTGGAGGCGCCTCTGCGGCGCGCGTCGGGGGGGGCTCGAAGGACACACCTCGCGAGGAGGAGGAGGAGGAGGAGGAGGAGGAGGAGGAAGAGGAGGAGGAGGAGGAGGGGGAGGGCGAGCGGCCAGGGAGCCCAGGAGCTCGGCGGAGGAGTGCGGTGTACGGACGCCCCAGCCTCCCACAGGCTGTGGGAGGCTCGGGGCCTCAGTGCACACCGAGCTCCCCCTGGTGGGCTCGACGGCTTGGTGTACCGTGGAGACCCATGCCAAGAGACACTCTGCTTGCCTCCAGGGTGCCCTGGGTTTCTTGGGCTTCGATGGCTTTGCTGCGGAAAGCGCGACGTTCCCACACCAAAAACGAAGGGACGTCCTGGGGCATCAGGATTGGGTTTCTTGTGGAAGGTTTCTTGTGGTCGGGCCCCTGCTGTATACTTCGAGCCGCTCCCAGCGCACTCGTGGGGGAGAGCAGGTCGAGGGGGAGGCTGCCATCGCAGAAGGGCAGGGGGGCTTTTCCGAAGGGGTCACAGAGGCTCCTCCTCCTCCTCCTCCTCCTCCTCCTCCTCCTCCTCCTCCTCCTCCTCCCCAACTTTCCCCCGAGTCGTTGACGATCCCGCGGGCCGGCAGGGGCCCCCCAGAGGCCGAAGTGGCCAGAAGCCTCCCGTCGTGAGTGTGCTCCTGGCCCGAAGGAGCTCGTCGAGAGGCTGAGCGCAGCCCGCTCAATATGGCCGCTCCCTGCCCCTCCCGAGGTCCGTCCTTGCCCATTGTTCGAGCCACGCCTCCGCCGTGACGACGGGAACCTCCTGAAGAGCCCAGAAGCCTCCAAGGCGACGACGACGACGACGACGACGACGACGACGACGACGACGACGACGACGACGACGACGACGACGACTGGTCAACCAGAGGCCTCCGGGGCCTCTGGAGGTCCCTAGGCGTGTTAAAGGCCTCTGTCTGCAACCACGACCGAGCCCTACCCCTGCGGGTCCAATCGACGCCTGGGTATCGGACACCCCCGCTGGGGCTTACTTGGCTGCAGACGCCCTTCGAATGCTGAAGCCCGGCAGGCGTTCCAGAAATCTGACCTTCAGGGGTACGGTACCACACCGCGGAGTCCGTGGAGATTCGGGGTCGCCTCCTCGAGCACCGAGGGGGGCCGAAGGTGCTCCTCTCCGCCTCGCCGTGCTCCCCTTCTTCGGACCCTCATCGATCGTCCTCCTCCACATCGTCGTCCCTCCTGCATCCCTCGTGGTTATCGTCGTCGCCGTCCGCACTTGGGCGCTAGTCAGACTATGATCGGCTGGGATCGTAGCGTCTGGCGATGAGAGAGCGGC